CCTCCTCCAGGTGTGGGCCACCCACACCCACCACTCTCATTGTAAAAAAATTTCTTCATTGCATTTAATTGAAATCTCCCCTCTTTCAGTTTAAAGCCATTGCCCCTTGTCCTGTCACTACACGCCCTTGTAAAAAGTCCTTCTCCAGCTTTCCTGTAGGGCCCCTTTAGGTACTGGAAGGCTGCTAGAAGGTCTCCCCGGAGCCTTCTCTTCGTCAGGCTGAATAACCTCAACTCTCTCAGCCTGTCTTCATAGGAATGGGGCTCCAGCCCTCAGATCATCTTTGTCGCCCTCCTCTGGACCCACTCCAACAGCTCCATGTCCTTCGTAGGATGAGGGCCCAAGAGCTGAATGCAGTACTCCAGGTGGAGTCTCATGAAAGCAGGGCAGAAGGGCAGAATCACCTTTCTCGACCTGCTGGCCACACTTCTCTGGATGCAGCCCAGGATACCATTGGCTTTCTGGGCTGCAAGCACACATTGTTGGCTCATGTTGAGCTTCTCATCAACCAATACCCCCAAGTCCTTCCACGCCCAGCCTGTACTTGTGCTTGGAATTGCCTCGACCCACGTGCAGGACCTTGCCCTTGGCCTTGTTGAACTTCATGAGGTTCACACAGGCCCACAGGCCTTTCAGGGTCCCCCTGGATGGCATCCCTTCCCTCCAGCGTGTCGACAACACTACACAGCTTGGCATTGTCAGGAAACTTGTTGAGGGTGCACTCAATCCCACTGTCCATGTCACCAACAAAGACGTTAAACAGCACCAGCCCCAATACCGACCCCTGAGGAACTCCACTTGTCACTGGCCTCCACTTGGACATTGAACTGCTGACAGCAACTCTTTGAGTGTGACCATCCAGCCAATTCCTTATCCACCAAATGGTCCATCCGTCAAATCCATGTCTCTCCAATTTAGAGACAAGGATGTCATGTGAAACGTGTTAAAAGCTTTAGACAAGGTCCAGGTAAATTTACATTTTTGTGACGTATAGCCTTTAAAAAATATACATATATTTTGTGACATATAGCCTTCTTTTGGAGTACTTCAGCAGCAGTACTGACTGGAATGTTTTCTCAGTACTTTGAGGGTGTCCCACTTCTTGAACGTAATTAATATCTTGGATTGCATTTAAGCATATGTGCAAAACAGACAACTCGTACTGAGATGTCACCTGCAAAAGACTGACTTGTGTAATTTCTGTTTCTAAAAATCTTAAGTATTTTCTGGCTTACTGGCTCAGTAGCACATCTATATAGCCCATAATCAAAAGGTGAAATTGCAGACAACATGAGTACAATGTTACCAATTGTCCCTTTCATCAGGCCATTTAATAAATCACTGCAATGTATGCAAAAATAAAGAGAGTTGCAGAAACCTGTAGGACCAGAAAGATGTAGGGTGGGGAAATAATTTAAAAAATCAAGTGAAGGATAAAGAAATCAAACTCAATCAGGATCTCTGAAAGTCAGATTTTCTAAAAATAAATTAGGATTGGTATCTTTTGGACTAAAATGTTAAGAAGCATCTTGAATCAAAACAGAATTATCTTTTTTTTACCTTTGATATGTAATTTATTCTTTTGAATCAAAGCTGAAAATTGCACCCCATATATCTTAACATAATTAAAAGACCAACATTGAGCTTCAGACAGAAGTGGCATAATTAAAGAACCTCTGCTTATATAAACCTATTTTACAATATGTCTATAATTAAAGAACTTCTGCTTATATAAACCTATTTTACAATATGTCTATTTTAAAAGGAATAGTCTTGCTCATCAGCAGTCTCAAAATCCAAGGAGAGGACAAAACGGGTAAAACATATGTAATATACTACCTCTTGTATCTGGATTTATCCACGAGGTTGCACAGTGAATTTTTAATGGACAGCCATTGAAAACCTTTGAAAAGCAAGCACCCATCTGTAGAAGTAAAAACAATTTAAAATAAACATTGAAAAATTAAAATGTGACATTTCCAATAGGATTACTTTTACTTAAAGTAGTAACAAAAGGTTAAGAGTAGATTCGTTTGCCATGTGGAAAATAACCTCATCCACACAAGAAGCTGACAAAAGGATTTATTTTTTTTAAAGTTATTTTTCCTTTGCGCATAAGACCTTTCTAAACAAGCACACCAGAATTAGCATTTTGGAATCAGCTCTTAAACTAACAGCCTATGCACCCACTTACGACAAAGGTGACAAACCTGAAAAAGGTTCCTGAATTTTGTGACTTTAGAAAGTCTCGGAGAAACTTTATTCTTGCCATATTTCAGACATTTAATATAAAACTCTAGGTCATGCAACAATCAACATCTTAGTCTCAGATTCTCAATTAGTTGTTTTGAATTAACTTATTTTCAATATTGATTGCTTCCCAAAGAGAAACCTCTGGTAGAAGATCCCACTCCTTGTTCAACATAACTCTAATAAACTTAGTTTGTCTATTAAGGGTCTTGCATTCTACAAAAGAATCGATCTCTCCATCTTCCCCTCAGCGAAGCACAAGCATTTGTAGGCATTTATACAAATACTTCGTAAATTTGTTTCAAGATGACAGAAGAGCAAAAGGCAGGGCTTCCTCCTTTCCCCTCAAACATCACCATAACAATTACTCATCCTGTTTTGTTAAGAAACAGCTGATTGACAGTACCTTAGAAGAAAAGGAATGATGCAGCAGTAAACAACAATTAGTAAAGTGAAATGTCATCGTTTATCAAATGATGATCAAGCATAAGAACCAGTCAGGTAAGGGTTGTCATCCTGAATATAAAAAGCTACATACTCTGTAATACAGCTACAGAACAGCAAATGTTTTCAGTTTATACTAATACTTTGTGAATTATTATCAATCTATAAACTGAGTTAACCAAATAGCTATCATGTTAACAATCGGACAATTTTTTTTAACCAGTTGCTGAAAACAAAGTCTGCACACATTTCAGTCACTTCTGAAAACAGTTTAGTACAATAAGAAAAAGAACCTAACAACTTCATAATTAACCCTTTAAAAAGAAAAGCAGCAGAAGTTAGACCCTTCTTTGCGCTTCAGACATCTCTCACTTCTGCATCACTATAATGAAGTCCATGAGTTTGTCTATAGATACTTCTGCAAGGGAAGAATCAAATTCATTAAGATAATCAGCAAAACATGAAAGACCCCATTGCACAAAGACAAGGGGAAAGACTTCAGCACTGCTAGTACGACAGCAGAAGTCTGAGAACCGAGGCAGGGAGCTGGCTGCTTGCTAGACAATGAGATGATCCTTCTCCAGGTGTAAGAACAGCAGAAAGAGAAAAGATACACGTGAGGCAGGAATATGAGAAGATCCCAACACAGAGTGACCTCAAGGCACTCACAACTTCAATTATATTAAATCCCTTGGCAGTAAGGAATTTGAAGGAGGAATGATAACCAGAAAAATAATAAAGGTTTTTTTTTTGCGGCAGTTTTATGGAAGCCTCCTTCCAAGTGCGCAGGGCACTGAAAGGCACTCAATAGAAAATACACCAGATGACACTCGAAGCACTAATCTCCTAGAATACTGCTAAGTGTTCCTACTGCTCCTGTAACCAGCTACACAATTCTCCTTGACCCTTTTCATGCACTGAAGAAAGATGCTGCACAGTGGAGGGAAGCTGTGCTCACTGCTAAGACCTAGCTGAGCTCTGCACTGATAAGCTGGATAAGAAAGAAGGAGGAGATGGAAGTCAGAAGAGAGTAATCATGTTTCTCTGGCTGTTCTTAGCCCTGATCTCCAGGAAGCGCAGAGCCAAGATGCTGCTGCAAATGCCTCAGAAGGGTAAATGGAGCCCAAGGGTATCATCTCTAAATATCAAACAAATCTCAAGGATACAATTGAGAATCAGACAAATTATTAAACTGAGTTGCTAGTGGGGGAAGAAAAACATTAAATAAAAGGCTGAGGCAAGGCTGCTTGATCTGACTGCTGCCATGGAGGCATTTAAGCCTCGGGGGAATTTCAAGAGGCAGAGCCTTCTCTCATTGGTAGGATCTAACAGGTCTCCCTGTGCTGCAAGCCACCTAAAGTAGCAGGGAAAAAACACACTACCAGACTGGGTTATTAAGAGAGATGAACAAAACCTCCAGAGTCACAAGCAACCATGCACAGATACCATTAACAAAGTCCTAGAACACAGAATCACAGAATGGTTTGGGTTGGAAGGGACCTCAAAGATCATCTAGTTCCAACCTCCCTGCCATGGGCAGGGACACCTTCCATGAGATCAGGTTGCTCAAAGCCTCATCCAACCCGGCCTTGAACACTTCCAGGGATAGGGCAACCACAACTTTTCAATACAACCTATTCCAGTATTTTATCACCCATATTGTAAAATATTTCTTCATTATATCTAATCAAAATCTTTCAGTTTAAAGCCATTGCCCCTTGTCCTGTCACTACACGCCCTTGTAAAAAGTCCTTCTCCAGCTTTCCTGTAGCCCCTTTAGGTACTGGAAGGCTGCAATAAGATCCTCCCGGAGCCTTCTCTTCGCCAGGCTGAATAACCTCAACTCTCTCAGCCTGTCTTCATAGGAATGGGGCTCCAGCCCTCAGATCATCTTTGTCGCCCTCCTCTGGACCCACTCCAACAGCTCCATGTCCTTCGTAGGATGAGGGCCCAAGAGCTGAATGCAGTACTCCAGGTGGAGTCTCATGAAAGCAGGGCAGAAGGGCAGAATCACCTTTCTCAACCTGCTGGCCACACTTCTTTGGATGCAGCCCAGGATACCATTGGCTTTCTGGGCTGCAAGCACACATTGTTGGCTCATGTTGAGCTTCTCATCAACCAACACCCCCAAGTCCTTCTCCGCCCAGCCTGTGTTTGTGCTTGGGATTGCCTCGACCCATGTGCAGGACCTTGCCCTTGGCCTTGTTGAACTGCATGAGGTTCACACAGGCCCACAGGCCTTTCAGGGTCCCCCTGGATGGCATCTCTCCCCTCCAGCCTGTCAACGACACCACATAGCTTGGTGTTGTCAGTGAACTTGCTGAGGGTGCACTCGATCCCACTGTCCATGTCACTAACAAAGACGTTAAATAGCACTGGCCTCAGCGCTGACCCCTGAGGAACACCACTTGTCACTGGCCTCCACTTGGACATTGAGCCATGGACAGCAACTCTTTGAGTGCGATCATCCAGCCAATTCCTTATCCACCAAATGGTCCATCCATCAAATCCATGTCTCTCCAATTCAGAGACAAGGATGTTGTGTGGGACAGTATCAAATGCTTTAGACAAGTCCAGGTAGATGACGTCAGTTATTCTTCCCTTATCCACCAATGCTGTTATCCTGTCGTAGGCAGCCACCAAATCTGTCAGGCATGAATTGCTCTCAGTGAAGCCATGTTGGCTGTCACCAATCACCGTCTTTTTTCCATGTTGTGCTGCGTTTAAGTGTTGGGGTTTGGTAGCACAGGAGGGGCTGTGAAATGGCCCCTGTAAGTAGTCACAAAAAAGCTTCCCTGGCTCCAAAAACCAGTCAGCCCTCTGGCCAGGTCACATTTCCCATCCCCTCAGGCCAGGGCCGAGCCAGTCAGTGCCTCTGTGAATGCCCTATTTAAGAATGAAGGAGCCCTAACAGAGGCTCGGCCC